AAAAAAATATTTTTAATAATACATGTACTTTATTTGATTTTTTCAAAAAAAGATGAGTCACTTAATGGTGAAATGAAATTAAAATTATAAAAAGCCGTCTGCCGTTGTTTCGTCACATGAAGCGCTGTCCCAGACAGGCGCCGATGGCCGTCTGCTGTAGTCACGTGATTACACTCGTCACTAAAAGAGCCAAGTCACGTGATAGAGGTCGGCTTCAAAATGGCGGCGTTCAATCGGAGGTTTCACTTCGGCACAGTTTTAACGTGAAATAGTCTCATTTACACGGGCAAATTTGCTTAAAGCTTGCTGTAATCAGTAACAGATATATTTGTGAGAACATATTTGTCTATTTTTTCCTGCAAGTCGAGGTAATTTTATTACAATCACAATTTTAATGATACATAACTGGCATATTTAAAAATCTGTGCATTTCTTTAGGGAAGGGAACTGCAGCTCTCTGGTCGCCCCGCAACGTATACCACGACCAAGAGAGCTGCATAAACTGCAGCAAACATACACACATACAAACACACAGACACACTAACTGCAAAGACTCCCATTTTGTGCTTCGCACATGGGAGTCAAAAACTACACAAATTTACTCCATTTACGAATTCCTAACGGTTTGCCCGAACGCATGGCACAGTTGGAGGCGTGGCCTGTTCAGCATTTGTCAACAACCAATCACAAGACTGGTTACGAACCACATCGAGGTCACGACTCGGTTAGCTTTGCTCAACTGCGTTCGGACTAACCGTTAGGAATTCCTAAATGGAGTCAATTTGTGTAGTTTTCTTGATTTATTCTGCAGATATCGGTAAAATGTAGGTAAGGCTTAGGCGAAATTCGAAGGAGCAACTAATATTCTTCAACCTGGTAATTTTTTTAGATTTTATTTTTTATATTTTTCGTCTGTTTTTTCGAGTTTAAAAAATGTGAGCTGGCTGGAGCCTTAATCCCTTGTCTATTTCTTACACTAGATACTAGCCGATCCCCCCCCCTCTCATAGAGACTGCGTATTACAGTTGATTATAGTTCCTGGGCTCCCTGTGGTATAGCCAATGCTTTGCTCGCCACTGACATGACAACCATGGAAGTAATAATTAGTAGATGAAACATAAAAAAATGTTAGTAAGTATTTATAGTCCTTAGTAACTATTCGTTATTACCAGATAGTTTAGGCTGTGGAAACATACCATGAGTGAGTGAGTTAAATAAAGGGAGATAAGACAAATACGAGCGAACACACAGTCACACTGGTTTCCACGCAGTCCATGTGCTGGTGCATAGAGCTACTACGTATACAAGTCAATTTGATTTGAATTACATTATATAATATCATATCCCAGTGTGTGTATGTTATATCAATTTGAAATAAATTCTATCAATCAGCATCATACCTGAAGTTCAATCATAGCTTATACACCTAGATATTTTGCAACTTTTCAGTGCTTTCATACAGTACTATTCACTGTCATTATTAAACAGAGAATTAGGCCACACTGATTTAATTTTATGGATGACATCCCCCGAAGACCCTAAAACTAATGCGAGAGGGCGAAAAAAAAAAATCGGCCAAAAAAAAAAAAAAAAAAAAATGCTGCTAAAACCACAGGACTACGGAGCTATTATTGCGAATTTAACCACAGTGTATCAAAAAAACAACAAGTCTTAATTTGTAGGAGGCACATGCTGATGTACACATTTCGTACTGTATTACTGTCACAGGTATCATCACTTTTGATATTGAAAAGGCAAGAGGATAAGGCAGATGTTAGCTTTGCCAAAGGCATACACATCAACTCAATAATAATGTGATAGGCATATTTGATGGTTAAAAACCTTTCACTTAGGTAACCGGGATTCGGTCGTTTCCACGCTAGGCTGACAAAAACACACACAAGCTTCGTTCATGTTCCCAAACGATTCTCTGCCAAGTCCCTGGTTTTCACCCGAGACAGCATTAAATCACTCTTTATTTCTTGTCACTCCTTAACCAATTACAATCAGTATAAGAGACTCCAAGGCCTTGCCTTCAAACAAACAACCAATCACATGAAAGTTTTACACATCATAATCAATTAATTACTCGTCAAACTATCTAGAAAAAACACTACTATATATTGTCAACACTAACTAATATTTATGGGGTAATAGTCTTGCACTAACATTCCACAAAGATACCGCCTTAGTTAGAATCGCAAACAAAATTGGTTTAGGATTACAGGTACTGTATTGTATCTTAAAAACTGCAGAGTCATAAGATGTTTTTGGTTGATTTCGACCAGCTCGCCATCTGGTCTTGTCATTAACCTTTATCAGTATATGTCATGGCAACCACTGTCAAACTGACTGAAATATAAATCATGATAATAAAGAAAAACTTACTATGTTGTATTGAAAAAAAATAATTAAAAATGAACAATAAGTTTGTCAACAGCAACCTGGAAATTAACTTCTTTGACATTCAAACTACACTTCAGATAGACTAAGTGTAGACACAAATGCTCTAGAACTACTTCAACTATGTAACAAATTAAAAGAGGCTCGATATTGAAAAAAAAAACACCAACAGAGAGTCAACAAAAAATTGGATGCAGAAAATTATGTACATGTATCTTGATGAAAATGCGTCATATGATCAAAATATTACTGAACGTGTTGTGCAAGCAAATTATCCGAATCAGAAAATGAAAAAAAAAATAAGAAACTTTTCTTCACCCCGTAAGGGGACTTCGGCCAAGGAGCTTCTGCTGCTTTCGTTGCAGTTTTGTCGACTTCAATGCGGACAAAGCAACCGAACTGATTTGTCGCCTGACCGACTTTTAGGCCACCATACACCTCCACTCCTCTCCCATTTCTCTCATCATTGCAGAAGAAACGCGGGACAGCCACTCTGGACAATATGTTCTCAAAGTTGTCTGGGCGAAACTCGCTTGCCGCTACCGACCTCTCGTATAGCTGTGTAAACGTCTCCCTGGCCAACGTCAATTGCGTACCAGTCTACAACAATCCCTCCGTTTCACCTCTGAACTTTTATATGCTCACGTATTTTGGTGGTGTGGTCGCCATGTTGGATCATTTATGGCAAAATTTGCATGTTTTGAGGCAATCTCTTTCCCATAGGTCTTTGCGCTTTACGTAACGCGCATCTAACTGTGCGGAGTTTGGTTTTGAGGTAGTCCAAAACGAGTTTTACGACAAGTCGGCACTTTGCAACAATATGAGTCGGCAAGTTCCGGACAGAAAACCGATTTGTGGAGACTCGTCGTCGGAGA